ATCAACAAACAATGACGAGAGCCGATATCTACTTATGTATCTACCAACACTTATAAGGAGACATATCTAGTGAGTAGTGAAACCAGATATGAAAGTTTTGTAAAATCATGAAAAAATTAGATATATGTAGGCATGAAATACATTATCACCAAATCTGAATTTCAAACTGAACTTTATTATGGAGCAAAGAAAACAATTTTCGAGTGAATAGTAAGAAAAACACCATTCACCTAAAAATTGTCATTTTTTCTCTCAAATAAAGTTTTTTGAGTTTGAACTTAAGATTTGGTATAAATGTATTTCAGGCCTACACACATATCTCTAGTTATTTTTTCATAAATTTACAACACATTTAGATATGGTTTTCACGAGTTTTTACTTATTTAATGATTTTCTCTGGAGATTTCCCTCCCTATAAACTACTATTTTGCACTCTAAGGTAACTCTTACAGTCCTACATTAATTAGAAAAAATCATTTATATAATGGCATGAGATAATATAATACTACATAAGTAAGTAGAACTTAGTATTAATATAATACTACATAAGTAAGTAGAACTTAGTATTTATTAATTCTAAAATTCAAAAAAGCAACATTAATAAATAAAATAAGACCCCAACACAAAAGCAAACATTAATTCGGATTGTCCATTTCCATATTACGAAAAAAAGCTATAATTGAGAATACAAAACGAGTATAAATCAATACTTAGTATAATTCATAATTTCTCAATTAAATTAAGGAAAAAACTATACTATATATGACTCTGACATTAATTAAAAATCAGCATACGAATAAAACTTTATTTTATATTATATTAATAATAATATGTGCAAATCACGAGTGTGCAACTAGGAGTCTATGACCTATACTGGTTAAGCACTCTAAGAGCAGTACAATAGCAGACTATTAGTCAGCTATAAACATATTTTAATGAGATAAAAGATGAGAGAGAAGAGCAGCGGGATACATATCTATAGCCAGCTGCAGCACAGACTCCAAGACACAATGTGTGTATGACAGGTGGGACCATATATTAATAGTATAGTAAGCAACTATTGTATGAATTAACTATTAGATTGGCTATAGATGAATTGGAGCTAGTAGTGGGCTGTACAATTAAACTTGCTCTAAGGCTGCGTTCGTTAGGAGTAGTTCCCAACTCCTCCTCCTTGTTTTTTGCGCGTACGCTTTTCAAATTGCTAAACGGTGCGTTTTTTGCAAAAAGTTTATATACGAAAGTTACTTTAAAAAATTATATTGATCTATTTTTGAAAAAAAATAGCTGAAACTTGATTAATCACGTGATAAATGCTGCTTCGTTTTGCGTACCGGAGAGTGAGGGTTCCCAACCCTCACTCCCGAATATAACCTAATTAAGGGAGCTCTTGCATTGGTTTGAAACGATCTACCCGTTGGTTATAGATCAAATTATCATGATTATACATCTTCTATTGCATACTAAAATCCATTAAACTTACTATAAACGGTACTAATTTGACATTTGGCACTCCAACAAATGCTTATAGGTTTGTTAAGGACGAAATTTGGTAAGCCCAAAGTCATCATCGGCTTAGAGTCACTATTGGCTTCAGAGTTATAGAATCAGCCGATGGGAGTTGTCAAATCGCCAGCAACCGTGTTCTCGATGGAGTCGGATCAACTAAAGGGAATTTATCCAAAAGAGTCTGAGTTCAAGAAGGATGCGGCATGGCAGTTTATCTATTAATTAGGAATAGTTTGTTAGTTTCCTTTTATCTTTAGAAAAGTGTGTTTAGTGTTCGATAAGGATTTTATGTTTTCCTTTTATCTTTAGGATAGTTTATTTCTTATCCGACAAGGACTTGTATCAACTCATGGGTGTAAATATGTACACCCGGGGTCTATGTAATCTATCAATCTCGATCAATACAACTACTCTCGGCGCATCGCCACCCTATTCCCTGAGGTTTTTTACTTATCAATCGGCGGAATTTGGCACCTGACGCGGGGCTGCATCGGCTTTCGATCTCCGGCGAAGGAGTAAATCCTACGTTCCGCCGGCCCTGGTGAATCTATCGGCTACATTGGTGTTGTTCAAGGCTGCATCGCTTCAATCTCTTGGATCGCTCTGGTTTGGTTGATATATTTGCCCATCTGATATCTCAATTCTATCTCTAATTGCATTGTATTTAGAGACGAATCGGTTTAGTTGGGACTGACTCGGTTAGGTCTGATCTCCTGTCTTAGCCGATATATCTCTACAATCACAGTTGTTCTAAATAGATTTGTTATATCCATTACATTGGACAGATCTATCGGCTCATCGAGTATTAGATTATCATATACAATCTTGTGCTGCATCGGTTAGGTTCGACCTACTAGATTGTTGTTGATAATATAAGTCTTGCTAAGCCGATAGGTTCATGCTAATGTTTTATTGGGGTGCTAGCCGATAAGTTATCTGGACGTTGCATCGGCTTATAAGGATTACATACAAGTTAGATTTAGCCGATGACAACTAAGCCGATCGCTTTTATATCATTATCTACATATAGCTGATTGCTCAACCCTATCGACATCGGCTGGAATCGGCATCGGCTAATATCGGCTATCGGCTGGAATTACTCCATCGGCTTGTCAGCCGATCGGCTCATTGATCTTCAATTTGTATATCTTGTCAGCTGCAGGGTCAAACTGACTGGCACGCTCGTATCTTACCAACCTTTGGTCCTACACTGGAGCTAAGCAAATATCTCAGGCCAGTGTGTTCTCTAAATAGTTGATTTAGTGTATTAATGATGTATTACGCTTATTTTATTGGCACATACACAATTTCAAAATAGTGATAATAAGTCGTGGTGACAAAAGGATAATTTATACATAACCGGTACAAAGTGATTTTTAAAAGATATTCTTATCATTTAAGTCTATGGTCTATCTCATGGCGTAAAAATGGTGAGATATGACTTTTGTTAGCATTATTTCATAAAACAGTAAATAAGATTCCCACTAGTTATATAAAAAGCCATGTTAAATAGAACATGATATTGAAAATAACATGCACTCTTTAGTGTTTATTATTGTGAACTCTATAATATTAGGTATCCTAAATTTAATAATTTTTAAAACTAGAATTAATAAATACTACGTGCAATGCACACACTTTTTTATTGATATCATAATTATTATATATACTAGGTGAAACCCCACTCGTTGGTGCAGGAGTTTGGTATGATAATAATAAATAAAAATAATGTGTAAGATAGCTAGACGACATAAACTCGCTTAAATTGATGTGGTTTATCATAATTTAAATAATATATAGAATGTTGATCCAAATGTAAAAGTAATATGATGTGGTTTTATGAGAGAAGAAAATGAGGGAGATAATTCCGACCATATATTAATCATTTGGGGGGTTAGAAACAACTGCTGTGATATGGCTTAATGATACAAGAGAGAAAGAATATAAACTAATTAAGTGACGATGAACTGTATAGGTATATAGATATTATACAAAATGTTGGAGAGATATATTGAAATATTTTGAGAATTATGTGGAATGATGATTTAACATGTTTGGATTTTTAAAGCTCTAAAATGTAAGTGAGGATAAACTATATAGTCATATAGGATATTAAAAAAAATTGATGGAGATATATATTGAAATATTTTGTGAATTATGTGGGATGATAATCTAATTAACATGGTTGAATTTTAAAGCTCTAAAACATAATAAATTAGCATGCTTGCATGAGGTTTAAGATGTAATAATTATTAGTGGATTATGTGGCATCTTTGCATGTTGAGCTTTAGAATTTAGTGTGCCTTAAGTTTATAGAAATATATGATTAATCAAATACTAAATACGATGTTGTTTTCTTTATTGTAGCATTTAAGAAGGGTCTGCAACTTTTGCAACTCACAAATTTAAATTTAAATTAATAAAATACTAAATACTACTAGTATGTTTTTATTCAGGTGTATAGTAAAGTGGGGAAGGGGAAAAAGTATGCACAATACACTTTATCTTTCTCTAAATTACAAACTGTAATCTAAACTGATATGACGAAGTACGATCCGACTGCGTCGGAATTTTATGTGTAACATAGGAGCTCCCTCAAAGCACCCGAATAATATAATAATGAATAGATAGATGACGTTTTACCCACATTAGACTTTCCATTTAATATTTTTTTAGGTTCATAATAAAGTTAAAGATTAATAATCAGTGAATTATAATTGACATTGACTCTTCTCTTAACATTCAAATATTAATATTTCTACAGTAATAACTATAATAATAGCTTTTGCATTTGCACGGTTCGTATACCTTAAAAAAATGTGATAGTCCTTTATTTGCTGATATTCTCTCACCTTTGGAAGAATCGACGTATACTTATATGATACTCGGCCCTTTAAAATCGATAACCTAAAATAGAGGAGAGAATAAAAGAAGAGTAAATTGCAGTTTAGGCCATATATTTTGATCCTTGTTGTGGGTTGGACTAGGTCTTAGCCAATGTTTTCACTTTGGACCACATAATATAGCCATTTATTTCACCTTACACCACCCTCTCATCTTTCCTAAATTCAAACAGCCCATCATTGATGGCATCAAATCACTCTCGAGTATGGAACAATATTAGTGGCATTGGTACACCACGCACAAGCTAATAGACATCGGCCAATGAAGCAAAGAAAAAAGAGAATTAGGAAACACAAGTCCAATATGAAACTTGTGCAAAAATACCTAATCCAAAGTGATACTATTAACTTACCCTTAGTCTAACTTACAACTCTGATAATAAAATGTGGCCCAATGTACTATTCACTCGTAAAAGAATCATACAAAGAGGGAAAAAGAAGTGCAAGAAAGAGGAAAAGAAGAGGATTTTTTTTTTTGGTTGGGCAAACAAAGAGATGTGTACTGGAGTAGTGGGGCAGCAAACACTATTCTCTCTCCATCCTTTTAAAGCTCACCACCCTATACAAGAACCTTTTTATTTATATCTGCTGGGCCTGTGAGTGTGGGGAAGAAGAGGCGGAGAGGTGTTGCCCAGGCATCTTGGCCAGCTAGGATGTTGAAGGATCGAAGCTTTCTCTGAAAGGGAAAGCAAGAGGAGCAAGAGAGAGAGAGAGAGAGAGAGAGAGAGAGAGAGAGTGTGAGTGAGAGAGGTGGTGTGGTGCAGTGCAGTCAAAGCTGGCATTTCTCTCTATTTTTGCATTATTATTCCCTTCTCCCATCCCATTTCTTCCCCATTCATTCAAACCAAGAAAAAGCTTATAAAATACGGGAGGCGATGGGTGTAGGAGAGGTAGAACGACAGGGTCCGTATATATAACCTCTCCTCTCTTCCTTCCTGCCTAGCGGTTCCTCCTCTCATCTCCCCTCTTCTCTCTTCCTGTGGGCGTGTGTCCTGTGTCCCCCGGGGGATCGGCCGAGGCGTCCGTTTGGGTTGGGTCGATTGATGCGTAGGAGGCAATGGCGGTGTCCTCGCCAACTTCTGCTCCGGAGAAGAAGAGGAAATGGCTGCTCAGCAACAGGAAGGTCAGTGCTTGTGCTCTGCTTGCTATCCGTTTCTCTCTGTCTCGTTCTCTTTCCTCCATTGTTGGTTCGGTCTGGTACCATCTGCTCGTTGCCGAACAGAACCAATGGCTCATCTGTTCAAGAACTGTGTATGGTCGTTGGTACCGCACAAATGCCAAGAGCATTTTGGTCCTTACGTTTTGACTTGAGAAGTTTCTGTTCAGTCCAAACGCGAGGACGGCTTGTTCGAGCCAAGAACCATTTGCCCCTTTCGATCTTGCCCGGCGTGCAGGTTTTGTTTGCTTGTTTCGTTCAAGAACTGCTTGATTTGAGCGCATTCCATCTCCTCGTCTTGTTTTGGTTGTTTTTGTCCCCTTTGTCCACCCAAAAGAAAAAAAAAGATTTTTCTTTCCTGGCTCCACAGATTTGTTGATCTTTCCCTGTTTCTGCAAAGATCCAAGTCTTGGATTGGAAAATCTCATGTCGATCGGTTTTGCAGGTGATCGACAAGTACCTGAGGGAGGCGAGGGCGATTCTTGCGACGGCGCCGGAAGCCGGCGGCGGGGACGCCGTGGCGGCCCTCGGCCTAGTAGACGCGGCGCTGGAGCTGTCGCCGCGGATGGAGTCCGCACTGGAGCTCCGGGGCCGCGCCCTCCTCTCGCTCCGGCGGTACAGGGATGTGGCGGAAATGCTGCGGGATTACATCCCCAGCTGCGCCAAGACATGCTCCGGCGACGACACCTTGTCGTCGTCGACATCGTCGTCCCTCTCGTCGTCCGGCTCCGGTGACCTCGGCACGATATCCCGGGCCAAACTCCTCTCGCCTGACCGCCACCGCTCCGACGCGGCGGCCGAACCAGGCGCCGCAGTCGCCCGCTCATTCCGCTGCTTCGACATCTCCGAGCTCAAGCGCCGCGTTCTCGCCAGCCTCTCCAAGAATCCCAACACGGACACCCAATGGAGGTATAAACCTTCACCATTACTTACACCTTGAATTAATTTCTGGATTCATTACATTCATCTGATTTTCTGATGTGCGAAATCGGGCAATGTGCAGGTACTTAGTTCTTGGCCAAGCTTGCTTCCACCTCGGGCTGATCGAGGACGCCATGGTGCTTCTCCAGACCGGACGCCGCCTCGCCTCCGCGGCGTTCCGCCGCGAGAGCGTGTGCCTGTCGGAGGACAGCTTCTCTTCCTCCTCCCCGGCGGCAGCCGTGGCGCCGATTCCTTCAGGGAACACCACCAAATCCGGGTCGGCGTTCATCATACCGGCCATGGAGTCGGAGGCCGTGTCCCAGCTCCTCGCGCACGTCAAGCTCCTGCTCCGCCGGCGCACGGCTGCCATGGCCGCGCTCGACGCTGGCCTCCCGGCGGAGGCCGTCCGCCATTTCTCCAAGATCCTAGAGGCGCGCCGTGGCGTGCTGCCGCACCCGTTCGCCGCCGCGTGCCTCGTTGGCCGCGCCGCCGCGTTCCAGGCCGGTGGCCGCCCCGCCGACGCCATCGCGGACTGCAACCGTGCGCTCGCGCTCGACCCCGCCTACATCCCGGCGCTCCGCGCCCGTGCCGACCTTCTTCAGTCCGTGGGTGCGCTTGCCGATTGTCTCCGTGACCTTGACCATCTCAAGCTACTCTATGACGCCGCGCTCCGGGACGGGAAGCTTCCAGGCCCCAGGTGGCGACCACAGGGTGGCGTCCGGTACCGCGAGATCGCCGGCGCGCACCGCAAGCTTACCGCGCGCATCCAAGGGCTCCGCAGCCGTGTCGCCGCCGGCGAGGCGTGTAACATCGATTACTACGCGCTTCTGGGTGTTCGACGCGGATGCACGCGCTCTGAGCTGGAACGCGCGCACTTGCTGTTGACTCTGAAGCTCAAGCCTGACCGCGCCGTGGTGTTCGGCGAACGGCTGGAGCTGGTGGACGAGCACCGTGACCTGGAGGCGGTGCGCGACCAGGCGCGCATGTCAGCGCTGCTGTTGTACAGGATGCTCCAGAAGGGTTATTCTTTCATCATGTCCGCGGTAATTGACGAGGAAGCTGCCGAGAGGCAGAGGGCGAGGGAGGCGGCTGCCGCCGCTGCTGCCGCAGCAGCAGCAGCAGCCGCGGCTGCAGCGGCGGCTTTGGCGGTCAAGCAAGAGGCCACAAAGCAAGAACTGGCCGCGCCACCAATGCCGGAGAAACCGAGGCAGACGGAGAGCGCTCCCTGCGCGAAACGCTCCATGGCATCGAAGGCCAAACCGAAGGCAAAGCCCGCTGCGACCGTGCCATCAATGATGTCCAGGAAGGCAGCGACCACGACGACCACGGCGAAGGCGGCGATGTCCAAGGCAGCAGTGACCGCGCCCAAGGCAGCGGCAGCAACGGCAGTAGCAGCGACCGCCGTGGCGGCTGCGGCGACGGCAGCATCGACGTCGACGGCGGCGCCGGTGTACCAAGGGGTGTTCTGCCGCGACATGGCGGTGGTGGGGACCCTGCTGTCACGCGGCGGGTTCGTCGACCGCGCCATGCCGGTGAAGTGCGAGGCGATGAGTTGCTGACGGGTGCCAGCCATGGCACGGCGATCCATCAGCAGGACGTCGCCGGCGCGATCTGATGCGGAGTGTACGGACCACGCGGGGATGGATGGAACAGAAGATCCAGCACGGTGGCGGGAAACCGGAGAGAAGTTTGAATTGTTCGATACATCTTCGCTATTGTACAGTTTGGGGAGAGGGGTACTTGAAAAAAAAAATTGAACCGGACCATTCAGAAAACCAGCACCAAAAAAAAAAAATTCAGAGTGGCAAGGCCAAATTGTTGGCAGGGAGGTGTGGATTGGAGGGTAAATTTTTGGTTGCATCTTCTTTAATGTGAGTTGTTACAGTGCAGTTAGCCCTCTACTCCTACCTGTGTTGTTGAGCTACTGGTACCCCTAATATTATCATGTGTATACATCCTCTCCTTTTTTTTCCTTCTCTCGTTGGCCTCAAGATTCTTCTGCTCTCTGCTCTCTGCTCTCTGCACTGCTAGTGTACTCCACACACATCTATCCATCCTGTGTATCCACTAGGGCACCAGGCATCTTTGCATCATCGCTTCCGGCCAACGCGTTTCAGAATCATCAGAGAGGATGGGGCGACTCTTAAAGCTACGTGTAAATGATGCACAGTGACTGATTGCTTGGGGCTCTGCTGCTGGTGTGTGTGTCCACCTCTCCACTGGCCTCTGCGTGCAGAGCGCCCCTCTGCAACCGTGGCCCTGATGATGCGATCTAGCGGTAGATACTACTAGGATGAACTGTGCTACGCATGACCTCACCGGGTGGCTTTTGCGAGGGGGAAAGACGCGCCGTGCCATGGTTGTGGTGGTGTGGTGTCTCTTTGCTGCGAGCGAGCAGATGGGAGGTCAGGTCAGAGCACCAGAGGCAGAGAAGAGAGAACCCCAGAGAGGCAGAGAACTCTCCTCTCCTCTCCACTCCTTTGCAGCTACCAGTGCATGTTACAGCGTGCATCACATGACTACTTTTTTTTCCCACCCAAACGTAGTACGTGTGGTGGTGGCATCAGAAAGCGAACGATGACGCGGATGCATCCCTGTCGTCACGGAACAATCTAGCAGTATTGCTGATCAGATCCGATCGATCTGCACCGTCCAACGGCTGTCACAGCGTGGCAAGGATTACGCTAACGAAACCCGTCCTTAATCCAGCAGTAGTTTAATGGCATCGAGTGGCTGGTTTCTGGAGTACTACAGGTCAGTGCGCGTCATCTAGTCGCCGTATCTCCGATTCGTTGTCGCAGGAGGAGATTTGACGGTCTGATCGATTGATGGGGTTTGATTGATTTGACGGGGATAGGCCGGGCCAAGGGTGACGCACGGCACGGGGTCGCGTGAGCTGCAGCGGCCGCGGTTTGTTTACCCGCTAATTTGCCTCGGGTTAGACGTAAGCGCGAGGCAAGTTGGGGGGCTAAACAAAACACGGAAATTAACGGGGCTCTGATTTCTGATCCCTTGTGCGTAGCGTAGCGGAGAACAGGAGGAGATAAGGGTTTCTGACGGTCGTGAGTTGTAACTGTATATGCAAGGCATTTGCGTGGGTTTGGATGGGATAATTGGGCGCGTTCCATGTGCCATCCACGTGATCGTCTGTCTGATCCATCGCCTCGGGAGGAGCCTCTGGATGATTAGGGCATCCATAACGGCAGTCTTTTGTTTAGAGGATTTTTTTAATTTTTTGTTTTTGGTTTCCTTTGGGTGCAACGGAAGGAAAAGAATTTGAGCTCCAACACGATGGCAATTCTCTCTCCTTTCTTATGTACTCCAAGTCACGATGGCAGTGGAGTATCTTGCTCCAAGTGACTCAAATAACCACACTTTGATAATGCCAGAGTTTTATCTCTTTGACAAACCGAAACTTAATTTGCCGTATCAGCCATGGTTTTCTCCGATACGTATGAGACAATCAATTTATACCTGTTAATCGAGATATATAACATCTCTAAAATTGTGAGGGACTCGTACCTCTTGAGGACCGAAGTAAATGAAATCTCGTAACAATACCAGAGGAGTTAAGATATGTTGTTCCCAGTAGTTATAGCTTCATGATAGATCAATCAACGCTGTCTCTAATCAGAAGCATCCTGATCAAACAAATGCAGTGGGTGGGCAATTACACTACAGGTTGTTATGTTGGTGCAATTTATTAGTTTCACTGCCTCTCTGTGCCGACAAGTTTTCTTTTATTTCCCTTGAAGCCAAAAAAAAAAAGGCTGGTGTGAGTGAGTCGCAGTACCACGGACACGGAGCTTCTCTGACCACCCAAATTAAACTACTCCTAATCCCGTTCAAAGTGATGATGCACCTGTGACGAACGGCATCGTACAAGGGAGAAATTGCTAGTTAATCCGCACTGTACTATTGAGCCAGCGTGCAGCAGCCAGCCACCAGTATATTTATTTTTGTATAAGGTTTGCTTTGCTTTCGAATGCGTACAGCTCGGGTGGATGCACTCGCCCCTTCTCTCCGAGAGTAATAAATAAACTAAGCGCGAGAAATCTGCCCAAATCTAGCTTTTCGGCAGCGGTACGTGACTACGTGACCGATCGGATCACGTATGCCCTGGCACGTTTAATTTCTCCTCACATGATTTGCTCTGTGCATTTTAAAACACATTTGGAATTAGTGCAGCATTATACGCTAGCGTAGTACTAGTACATTACACTATCTATCTGTATCTGAGATAGTTTTAAATGTAGGCATCATGTTGAGCTAAAGACTCTCACATTAATTGAAGTCTAACCACACTTCTAAAATCATTTACATTAAAATTAAGACATTCCCATTAATTAAAGTCAAAAAATTTATATTAAACTTAATTTAACTTTAAAATCTATCATGTATAAATTAAAATTATACTAATTAATAGTTATACACCGAACACAATTATACTTTTATCTAGCTAGCCAGTGTAAAATTACTCAAGACAAGCTATTAAGTACTCCATCCGTTTCATAATATAATACTTTCTAGTATTGCTCATATTCATATAGATGTTAATGAATCTAGACACACATATATATCTAGATTCATTAACATCTACTATATGAATGTGGGTAATGCTAGAAAGATTTACATTATGAAACGAAGAAAGTACGTAGTACTAGTAAAGTATTCCCTTCATCCTAAAAATATATTAAATCATAGTAGACTTTAAATTTTCCAAAATAAATTAATTTATACCTACTTAATTACCTACTCTCAATCAAAAATATTTATCTTTTCAATATCTCTTACCTACCCATTCACCAATACTAGTTATCCTATTAATGACAGGTATTTTAGTCTTCTCTCCCTCTTGTTAACTTCTCAGGAATCTAGGGGTGGGTTTCGATAAATTTTATGGTTCTTAAGAAATATATCTCGAGTCATCTATTTTTTATATAAAAATAATGTGGTTGCGTTTGAGACAGATGATAAAGAGAAAAAAGTCCATTGCTTTTTTGTTTGCCTATGTTTCTAGAACTATTAAATGATATTTTTTTTAAAAAATATTTTCTATATGATACTTAAAAAAGTCATGTTAATCTTTTTTAAGTTTAAAATAACTAATACTTAATTAATTACATGCTAATTACTCATCTCGTTTTACGTACCATTTTAGTTTTCTTCTTTTCTCTCCTCTTAAACACCGGAAACTCTAATGCGCGGTCGATCACGGTAGCGATCGGGTAGCGATCACCACCCCTCTTAATTTGAATTATATCCGATTCAAATTTGAATTTGAATTCAAATATTTTCTATATATAGTATTTCTATACATTTAAAGTTTATACACCTAAAGTTCATAGACCCAAAGTTTATAAGTCAAAAGTTTACATACCCGATTCAAATTTTTATATATAGTATTTCTATACATAAATTTTTCTAACATTTTGTTTTTTAAATTTTTTTTGTGGTTTACTATAGTAAGAAGAGAAAAGGAGAGGAGGAAGAGGGGAGAGAGAGGGGGGAGTAGGGGGACGGATGGGTGATCGCTGGGAGGTGTGCCCCTTAAACACTCCCCTATTAATTAAGTAGAGATACCAAGTTTTATTTTAAAAAATAGAAAATAGAGTACCAGTTAGTAAAGGCGTAGACAAGCTAGCCTAGACAAGTATGGCTTGAGCCCTAAGTTTGTCTCCTTAATCCCTTCTAAGTTCATGAAAAGTTTTTTGATTCATCAATTTGCCTTGGTTGAGTCATAGTCTTTGTAAATTTCTGGCTCTGTCATTGCTTTTTATTATCTTCTTACAATTACTAAAATTATTTATGGTTTTTTTATAGGACATGGGGAGTTTTAATCAATGGTACCAAGATTAGATTGCCGACCGATTTGGTCCAAATGGACACACGTTCTGATCGGAGATTACGCATGGCTTACTCTGATCGGAGTAGTAATTTAGACTGGAGTCGGGGCCACAGATACTATAGTAGCTTAGCCGTTGGTGCTTGGTTCGTGACAAGTTGGTACTCTGTTAATTGATGAGCTTGTGATGCGACGCACACACTCTGCGTCCAGACTCTGCCATGCATGACGGTCGATAGAGATACTGCTATTACTACTCCTGGATCAGACGACATGGGATTAGACGGTCGTGCTCGTTCGATCGATCATTTCGTGATAATGGCATTGAAAAACCGGTGGAATTAGCTGTCAGCGACGGGAAATCAACGTGTCTGACCGACCGCGCAGGAGCTACCACCGCCGCCGGAATTTTCAAACGTTGGTCAGGGAAAGTGTTTAAGTAAACTGTTAACGCGGGCTGGCAGATTTTGTTGTGTTCGAAAATGCCATCTCCCGGGCATATACCCTTTAGCTCCTCGTGCCAGTTGGGGCACATGAACTTGAGCTTTTGCTAGCTAGCGTCCACTCAGTAGGCAGCTAGCTTGAGCCCAAGTACAGAGGGTGAGATGGGCTCCACGTACATGTCGACCGCCACGACGACGTCGTCGTTAACTATTACTATCACCGGATTAATCAATCGCTGGCTAGATCGGTCCATGACCTATTTCATGCTGCGTCGGTCAAGGTTGGTCCAAATAGGATCTATAGAGTATATACTATAATAACCTACAAATTTAAGGATATATTGGCCACCTCCCCTGAAATTATTAAGGCCCTTGCTATATACTATCACCAACTCGCCGGTTAATTACTCGGCTATCGTGGTGGGGGTGGTCACGTCTCGCGACGTGCGTGCGTGCAGCAATATGCAGTCGGTCGCCATCGTGGATTAGTTACTTCCTAATTAACGGGTTGACAGAACGTACCTGTTGCTAGCTAGTACTCTAGTACATAATTCCTGCGTGCGTAGCACGTAGTAGTTACGTGCCATGCATCAACAACGTTCCTGGGATAAACACACGTAGTATGTGGCGAACAGAAATCTCAAAGCGTACGTGAATCGTATCTCCGGTGTTTCCAGGAAGACAAAAC